TGGACCACCATTGAATCAATTCTAGTGTTTCTCAGAGACACACTAAAGGGCTAGGTGGAACTGCCCCTGTGGGTTTTTGAGATTGTAACTATGACGGGGAGGAGAAAACCTCATCTTTCTCTCAGGTTAGCCCAAGTTACCTGCTAATATATGTGGGTATGTTTAAAAAAATGCTACATGGCCTCAACTAGTCTAATCATGGACCACATGAATGTCAGCTTCCATGAGCCCAACACCAGAAGACCTAGATGGTGCCCGGCTACCACCACCCTCTGCTCCGAAAAGGATCACAGTAGAAAATCCTGGATAGAGTGGGAGAAAACTGTGGAACCAAACTCAAAGTCATGAAGAAGACCTGGCTTAATGGTCAAAGAGAGACTAGTGGAACCCCCAAGTGGATGGCCCTAGTCGCTCTCCAGTTCCTGAACAGACCTCACCCTTGTGGCCTACTTTTCAGCCAAAGAACAGACTGCAAGGGGTGCATAACTTAGAAGAATCAACCATATGAGAACAAGGGGCGACATCTGTCCAAGGACAAAGTTTAGAAGGGTTAGGAAAGGAGGAGGACTGGAAACAGGAAACACAGGGAAGAAGTGGGATAAATGATATGATATTGCAGCGGGGTGGCAATCAAGGACCTGAAACAAAATGTACACAAGTGGTGGAATGGAAAACTGATTTGCTCTGTAAGCCTTCACCAAATTCACCCATAAAAAGGAAAAGAGCCAAGCAAAAAAGACCAGACAATCTTGAGGCGCACAGTTCTACTCTGATGTCTATGGGGTCACCTGGGAGCTCTCCATGAGTAATACCAGGCTCAATGACAACATGACCACTGTAATATGGCAACAACATCATAGCACATTTTATTCAACGAAAACAGAAAATACAAAGCTCCTGTTTCACAACACCTCCTCCATCTAAGTCTGTATATTCTGAAGGTAGTGCTGCCATCTCTCTAATCTTTAGCCCCCCAATTCTGAGCCCTTCCAGTTCTGTCACATTACAACAGCAGGATCGTCATCCTTGAGGTGTTTAAACTGTGGTCCTTTCCCATCTTCGTTATGTTCAGTAATAGAGCAGGAAGTGTACAGAAGCACCATTAGGAGGGTAGGGTGGATGGGTAAGCATCGGATAGCCAATGGCAC